ATATATGGTTTATCTTAGGCTTATGCAAGCCAAGAGAACCTACTCATGCTCCAACCCCAGCTGTGCTGAGAGGCAGGCAGGGTGAAGGATTCCAGGCCCAGGCCCAGGCCCAGGCCCAGGCCCAGGACTGACCCAGGCCACATCAGCCAGCCGGCAGGTGGGTGGCCGGGCTGCGTGAGGCGGGTGCAGGCGGTGATGTCTCTGTGCTCTCTCCCGCCTGACCTGCAGATCCTGGAGGAGAACATGAAGCTGGAGTGTAAGTGCCACGGGGTGTCGGGCTCGTGCACCACCAAGACGTGCTGGACCACGCTGCCGCAGTTCCGGGAGCTGGGCTACGTGCTCAAGGACAAGTACAACGAGGCCGTCCACGTGGAGCCCGTGCGCGCCAGCCGCAACAAGCGGCCCACCTTCCTGAAGATCAAGAAGCCCCTGTCCTACCGCAAGCCCATGGACACGGACCTGGTGTACATCGAGAAGTCGCCCAACTACTGCGAGGAGGACCCGGTGACGGGCAGCGTGGGCACGCAGGGCCGAGCCTGCAACAAGACGGCCCCCCAGGCCAGCGGCTGCGACCTCATGTGCTGCGGCCGCGGCTACAACACCCACCAGTACGCCCGCGTGTGGCAGTGCAACTGCAAGTTCCACTGGTGCTGCTACGTCAAGTGCAACACGTGCAGCGAGCGCACGGAGATGTACACGTGCAAGTGAGGCGGGAGCTGCCTCGATCCTCACAGGGAGCTGCAGAAACTCCCCGCGCTTGTCTTTCCTGCTGAAGAGGGCCCTGTTCCGGTTTCCGGCCGGCCCTGCGGGAGGAAGCCCCGGGCCCTCGCCTGCTCTGTTCCACATCCAGGGCCGCTCCCCCTCCCCGACGAGGCCCAGGCCCCTGCGCGGCTGGAATGAAGCCTTTCGCTGGAACTCCGGGCCCTCCGGCCTCGTCGTAGCAATATTTAACAATTTATTCTGATAAAAAAAATAATATTAATTTATTTAATTAAAAAGAATTCTTCCGTCTCGTCGGGATCCGTTTTCTGCAATCAAAGTGAACTTGCGCTTTGCTGGCGGGATGATTTGTGTCTCTAGAACCTGGAGCGGTGTAGAACTGTACTTAGGTATTCTTTCTGCAGACGTTTCTGCAAATATCTTCCCCCTGCAGCGCTAGAGGTTTAAGTACAACAAGCAGACATCCCTTACAGTTTATACACATACTGGTACACACACACACGCACACACACACACACACACACTCGTTACACACATATACATATATGCTATTTGCTGCTACTTAGCCAGAAACTGAAGCTGGTCCAGATTTGAGATTTTTTTTTTTCCAGAACTTGCTTCTCATTCTTCTGTCCTCCGAAGTTCAAACATTGTGATTAGAAAGAAATCTAGTTAGAGAGAGAGAGAGAGAGAGAGAGAGGAGAAGGGGGGAAGAGTAAACTCCCAACTGTTTTCATCATATGGAAAGTGAGCCACTGGATAAGAATATTTTGTAAGACTATTTTTATAAGAATATTTTATTTATATGGAGCCTACTGTATCCTCCCATGGCCTGTGTGTCTTCTTAATGCTGACCCTCAAGGGGGTGAGGAGGGGTGCGTCCGGGGCACTGGGCAGGTCCAAGAGGCCAGAGCAGCCCCCAGATGCCTAGGGTTGGGGCATCATTCATGTTGACTGAGAAGAAACCCAGCCCCAGGCTCTGCCTGTGAATAAGGGCTTTGGGCAGGGTCCCTCGGGGTGAGTCACTCGGGCGGGCATGTGTGCCAGTGCCCTCTACACTTGCGTGACCATCATGGGCACTGGGCCATCAGCACCAGGCAGAAGCCAGCTCAGGGACCCTCGCACCTCACCGAAATGGCCCTGCCACTGCCTGCGTCCTCAGAGAGGGGAGGAAAACGGGCAGGGAAGCAGCTCACAAGCTCTGAGGCCCAAGGACTTGCTGGCCTGTTCTGGTGGGCTGGGGGAGAGGTGAGAGTCAGCCTCTCTGCTTTGTCCTGGCCGCACCCAGTGCCTCTCGACATGGGAAGCTGTGGATGACATCCTGAGTGTCAGTTTGCATCTCTGTGTGCGTGGACGTCTTGAGGTTGTCATGTGACTGTGCCCTGAAGCACCTCTAGTGTGTGTGTATGTATGTGTGTGTGTGTGTGTGTGTGTGTGTGTGTGTGTGTTGGTGTGGGTGTGTGTGTGTGTGTGCGGTGCTGCGTGCGCATCTGTGTGTCTCCCTGTGCCCCTGGGAAGGAGAGCAGGTCGTGTACATGGAGCTGCATGCCTGAGCACTTGCTGGTCCTAGGAGGTCCCTGGCAGGCAGGGGGATTCCATGTGTGCGTATGAGGCGGACAGCTGGGGACAGCTGGTGATTGTGGTTGGCCACCAAGAGATAGCACCTCTGAACTCTGTCCCACAGAGGTGAAACTCGGATACCTCTGAGACCACAGCCCCGTGAGTCCTGAGCGCTAAGAGCCCCTGAGCCTCTAGGCCATGTTCGTCCCCAGTATCAGCACTGGGCCTGGGTCACTGGCAAATAAACATGGCTGGCTGGCTGTATTTCTTCATATTTCCTTTATGTGGCATGTGGATGAGTGGGCAGGTGAGGAATTGATAGAGTGATGGATGGACAGATGTGTGTGAATGGGCGGACAAGCGGGTAGATGGATGCAGGGATGATATGTGTGTGTGCGGATGGATGTGGATGCAGGGATGATATGTGTGTGTGTGGATGGATGTGGATGCAGGGATGATATGTGTGTGTGTGGATGGATGTGGATGCAGGGATGATATGTGTGCGTGTGGATGGATGTGGATGCAGGGATGATATGTGTGCGTGTGGATGGATGTGGATGCAGGGATGATATGTGTGCGTGTGGATGGATGTGGATGCAGGGATGATATGTGGGGGTGGGGCATGGATGGACAAATGGTTGGGTAGATGAATAAACTGGTGTCCAGATAGATGGTTTGATGGATAGGTGGATGGATGATAGATGCATGCATGGATGGAGGGATGGGTGGACAGGAGGACAGGTAGATGTACAGAGGGATACATAGGTGCCTAGACGGATGGAGAGCGGACAGTACATAGGTAGATGGATGGATAGGAAGGCAGGTAAATGTACGGGTAGTGGGTGAGCACATGAGCAGGTGGTATTGGGGCGATGCGTGGTCCATGAGCAGATAAGAAAAAAACATGCAAGAGTTCCCTGAAAGCCCCTGTCACATCCTCTCTCTTCCTGGGAGAACCCACAGTGCTTCCCATGAGCATGGGGCTTTCCAAGCCTCTGCTCCTGGCCTTGTTGGCTCCTGGAAGTGGGGGAGATTCTGACTAACCCTCCCCAGATGACTGTTAGCTGTGTAAATGGGGCCCCATGTTCTCCCTCACTGCCCACATGAGGACAGGGCCAGCAGAGAGCATCTGGGCCTGTGGCAGGAGGGCTAGGGCAGCTGCCTGCCATCTGGCCCTGGGGGCTGCCCTTCCTCTGGGTGCCCAGCCAGTGTGCTCTGAGCTGTGCCTCAGTCTCCCCTTCTGTAAAAGCCGAATAATACACCTGCCACTCAGGGGAGGAGGAGGGTCTTCCAACCATGACTGTGTGGCACTTGGTGATGTAAAATAAGGGATGAATGCTATTATTATTAATTATCGTTGCTACAACTGTTATTATCCATGATTACAGAATTCTTCAAACACACTTATGGTAAAAAATGTTTGACTCTTTGTTAGCTAAAGGTTTTCCTTTTGCCCTTACTCTAGTCATAAACTGGCTTTTCAGTAGCACTGGCATGAAAACGATGGGCATCGTAAGGGGCAGCGTTGCAGTTCAGAAAGCCCAGGATCACAGTGTCAAAAGCACATGGGCCTGGAGCCAGGAGGAAACAGGTTCAGGAACTCAGCCGCTCAATCCAAGGCCACTGTCACCACATGGGACTGTGGGCCTGTCATGGCCAAATCCTCTGAGATGTTATGAAAGAATGAGACCTGAGTTTCCGAGGAAAATCTCCCACTTTTTCAGTATGTTGACAGGCACCACAAGCACAATGCAAACATGGCTGCAGGCTGAACTTGGTCTTTGGGCCACCAGACTGTTACAGACTATTGTTTTAGAGATGGGGAAACAGGCCGAGAGAGGGGCAGGGCTTCACTCCAGGCTGCACAGCATGCCCAGCAGTGAGGACACCAGGCCCAAGCTCCTGGGGATGACCTTTCACCAGTGCCATGTACCAAGTCAGGAAATAATTTAGGAGAAGGAAGGTTGGAAGGCATATACTTCCTGCACACACACGCACACACACATGTCAAGAGGCTCCAGGGAGAACCATCTAGGCTTTCCCAAGGGTCCTGAAGAGATGAACTGGTGCCCTGAACCATTCTGTGGCACGAGCCTTTCCTTGGATGCCTAGATGAGTGAACACAGAAGGAATGATGAATAGACGGAGGGATGGAAGGAAGGAGGGAGGGGAGCAGGCAAGATGGATACATAGAAGGTAAAAGGGAAGTATAGATGGAGGGATGGTGGATAGGTGGATGGAGGGTGGATGGATGGATGGGTGGGTGGGTGGATGGATGGGTGGACAGATGGACGGAT